AAATAAAACATCATTACTTCCATAATGAATTGATTAAATTTTATCATAATTATCCAATTTATCTAAGGGTAAAGGATTTCTCCAGACACCGGAGATAAAGTTATTTCCAGTAAGCTCAAAACAACGTTGTTTTGGAGCAGAAATCAAGGCATTTTTGTAATTATAATATATTGCAGGTTATATTAGTCTTATCATTATAATTTTTTAATCTTATAACCCTAACACGACGTTATTTTGAGCTCATTGGAGATAACTTTATCTCCGGTGATTGAAGAAATACTTTTCCCTTTATCTAAATATAATCCACTTTAAATTTATTTTTAACTAAAACTAATTTTAAAAATTAAATTATCCAAAATCACTTACACTAATGAAATAAGTATGTTCTAATTAAATTTTTCAATAAAGCTCCATAAAGTACTTAGGGGACGTTTGGTTGAGGAGAAATTTTTTGAATACTAAGGAAATTGTTGGAAAGTGAGTTTGGTAGGAAAGTTAAAAAAAGTTGTTTGGTTGGTCAAATTTTTCAGGAGAAATTGAGTTAAATTTTGTGAGTCTTTGTTTGGTTGAATGTGAAATAATGATGGATAAATGTGTTGAAATATCAAAATTAACCCTTGATATTTTAGAGATGTAGGCATGTGTACTTAGAAGAGGGCAATATGGTAACACTCTTCATTCACCTTTTTGCATTTTAGCTAGTTTTCTCGGAATACCACATCCTAGGGGGCGTTTGGTTCAGGAAATTTTTTTGAAATAGTAGGAAAATGAGATAGATAGAGAAATGATTGGAAAGATAGATAAAATGAGATAGGTAGAAAAATGTAAAAAAAAATTGTTTGGTGGGGAAAAACTTTACTGGAAAAATTAGGTAACTTTATGAAATCAACAGTGCATTAAAAGCCAGGTAACCGGTTTTCCGAAAAATCCCACCTTCAAATTGGGTTTCTAAACAGTGCGGATATCTATGTTTCTCATAAATCCAGACAAATTGGATAGATGGATTTTTGGTGAAAAACGTTGAAACAAATATGGTGTTTCTAAAAGCCTCACTTGAGAAAGATAGATATCCGTTGAAAAGCTCCCAACCAAACACCACCTAAATGATAAAGTTCTACTATGATTTGCTTTTGATTTTGCACGTACTTGTGAAGGATGGGGAAAAGAGAAGCATAGCTAAACTTTTTTAATCTTTCTACCAAATAAAGCAATCATAGAATATCACTTCAAGATAGATGGAGAACCAAATAAAAAACTTCAACCAAACACTCCCTTAGACATTTGCAGCGCCTCTGAAAAAGTTTTGAGCATTCATGCTTCGTTGACTTTACCTGCTACGATTGTACTGTACTAGATACCGTATCGTACGTCGAAACTGTATCTAATGATGAGTCGATGACATTATTGTCATGGAATTTCATTGCAGTTCTGAATACACCTATGTGACTAAATAAGATGAATGAGAGACTAAAATCACTCAGCAAAGAAAAAAGAACTTTATATTGGGCCAAAGGAGTGAATACTCCATCATCAATGATATCTATCAATTTTTTTAAGTTGTAAGAATTTGGAATTTTTATAAGAGTAAATATCTTTTTTTACTTCCTGGAAATATCTACGAAATTCTTTTTAGTCCTGTCAATAAAAAAGGACTGAATTGGTCCCTAAAATTATGAAAAAAAGGTCACGTTAGTCCTTATGTCAACTCCTCCGTCACTAACGTGACCTTTTTTACATACTGTTAGGGATCAATTTGGTCTTTTTTTATTGCCAGAGACTAAAAAAGATTTCGTAGATATTGTCAGGGACCAAAAAAGGTGTTTACTCTTTTTATAATTAACAATTCATTAAAAGTATGGATATTAAAAAAATTTACTGCAACAACTTGGCCATAGAAAATATGTCTATCCTTAGTATATTTATGCATTTTTTTAAAAAAAAAAAACTTGACTATAGACTTCCACTAGATGAAAACATTTATTCTTACTTGCTTAGCTATGCAAATGCAAGGGGCATTTGCACAAGCGTAGCCACATTATATTTAGGTAGACTCGAGTCCCAATTACATTTTAATAAATTTTATTTGTTATATATAATTATATAAGTAATTATAATTGGATCCTACCTAAAATTATAAGTTGGCCTTAGCTAAATTTGTAACAACGATAACAGACAAAGATTTGGAGCTGCTTTGCTTCATATAATAAATTGTTTTCTTCTTAATTTCTTCTTCTTTCATCTTTTTTCATTTAGGGTTTTCTTCTAATTTTTTTTTTTATTCGCACTCACCACCCGGAACCCAACCATTCTGTGGTACGATGTTTTGTTCCTTTCTCAAGATTTTAGAAATACATATTCTTGGAATATGCATTGGTAATCATATTGTCCGCTCAGAGAAATTCTTTGTTTTTGCTGACCATAATTATTTACTAGGTGTTTTAAACACGAGTGAAATTCATTCTCCCTTTTTTTTATTTATAACTTTTTTTTGTGTGGTTGTATTTATTGATTTTATTTCTTTTAAAAAATGGAGTGTTGTTTTACATTTACCTTTTTTTAAAAAAATATTTTAATGTAGAGTTACAGTTGCTATTGGTAATGGAATTGAATTGTTTATTGTGTTATTTGTATTTGATTTCACAACAGGAGTGACAATTTTGACGATTAATCAAAGGAAATTATTAAAGAGAAAAATCAATGAAGATATATGTATATATATAGAGTATGAAAATTTCTTGTACATATTCATTAACAACTTATTTGTTTTTTTTTGTACTTTTAAATTTTTTAATATATTTAAACACTGGTTAAATGATTTAATGGACCCAATGTCATTTAAATGATTTTAGACATTTGTTGTTGATTGTTCCATGTTTCTTTTTAATTGTGAAGTTTGTTGTCCCTCTACATTGATGTTCTTCACAGGTCACGACTAGGGGTATAAATGGGCCAAGTTAGACCACTTTGATAGCCTAAGCCTATGTAAAATATTTAGAGCCTATACTGACCTATTAGCCTATTAAAGACTTGATTTATAGGTCTAGCCTGACCTATTATATAAAACTAAAAGACTAAAAAACCTAATTCGACTTGTAAGGCCTATCAAGTTGTAAACTAAAGTTTATAGGCCCAAACCAAATTAAAATATAAAAGATAAAAAAAAATTATTCACAAAGATCACATGAAATAAAATTTCATTAATATCATATGAAATAAAATTTCATTAACATCATATTAAATAAGTTTTCATTAACATCACATGAAATAATGTTCATAAAGATCACATGAAAATGCTCATAAAAATCACATGAAAATTTCATATATGTATGTGATAGGTTATTCTGTTTACTCTTATTTTGCCTACCTTTGCCTACCCCTTTCATTACCGTTCGATTACGATCACATCCAACAATCGATATCTGCGATATAAAATAAACATTTTTTTCCCTTACTTTCTCTTCACTTCCTCCCACACCCTTTATTTTATATCGCAGATATCGATCGTTGATGTGTTTGTATTAAATTAAATAAACAGTGTCCAAGCCCAACTAAATTAAATAAACAGCAGTTTAATATCAATATTAGACCAAACTGGTCATGATTCCTAATAGTATATATATGTCATTCCTAAAACATATCTATATTAATCACAGTATATATGTATGTCATTCCTAAAACAATCTCTTAGTAGATCATTCTCCTAATCCTATATACTAATTACAATATATATATCTCCTAATCCTATATACTAATTACAATATATATATATATATATATATATATATATATATATATATATCATGTTGTCTAAGTTTATTCTTTCTACCAATCATATTAATATTATCCTAGCCTGAATAGGCCGAATCCGAAAAAATAAATATAAAAAATCCAATGCATCGTCATTAGCCAGAGGAGGAGGAGATCTTGATGACATGTACTCCACAATATTGCTCCTTCCAAAGTCGCCAAACACACCTACATGAAGAAAAAAATATCAAAACATTGAAATAATTAAAAAAATGAAAAAAAATAATAAAAGATGAATACACTTACAACACCGACGACAACCACTTCGTGGTGGGCATTCACAAATTTTCCATAGGCAGTAGGACATAAGTTCGCATATAAGATTTTGTTGTGGTATCTGTCCATATGGGTGTCTTAGTCTATTTTTTTTTTTAAAAAATTTGGAAGTGTTTACAACAAGAAACATTCCTAACTAATGGTTCATATTTCAAATTAAAATTAATGAGGCATTGTGTAACAGGTCATATTGTGCTTGGCTTAATACATTGCTGAAAATTACCTAAACTCTTGTCCTAGCTAAATATCCTCGAGGCAAAATATTACAGCAGTTTAATAGCAATATTAGACCAAACTGGTCATGATTCCTAGCGTTTTCATGTGCTGGGTTTTGGGGCTGATTGTTTCCCGAAGATAAAATAGGGAGGGGAGTAAGCAGAATTTTGGACTTTTTTGAAAAGTTTTTAAAAACAATTTTTTGATTTTCAGAATAAAAAAAAATCCATTGTTTTGAAAAAAAAATTAAAAATTAAAAATTATAACTGTTTTTTTATTTTTAAAATCAAATTTAAAGAACATGTTTATGTTTGGATTATTTGATTTTTAAATTTAAAAAAAATATAGAAAATAATTATTTTCATAACTATTCTACAAAATAGTTTTACCCAAAAAAAAAAAAACCAAAATAGAATCAAAGAGGCCCTTTGGCTTGGTTAAGGAAGAAATAATCTTTGTCCTGTGTCCTTATTTTCAAGTCCTTTTTCTGTATATTTCTGTTCTGTTCATGATTTTGTGGCCATGGATCTCCTATTAAGAGAAATGGCCTGGTTGTTCTCCAAATTCCATTTATGCGAGGACTATAAATGGCATCGACAGAATCCTATTATAGTCTTCCAACCTTCAAGGTATTCGTGGGAACTGAGATTCACCCAAAAAAAAAGCTTTCATTTTCTTTGGTCTAATGCATTGTTGTTGTTCAGAACTTGAAGGTTACAGACAAGGAAAATTTGACACAAGGAAAATTTGACAAAAGCAGTTTGCTATCCCAGTTTCAAATACATGTCCAGCAGCTTTATAATAAAATGTATTACTAGAAAAGGAGAAATGAAATTAAAAATTAAAAAAAAAAAAAAACTTTTATAGGGTAGCACCATCCTAGCATATTGGTAGAGGAGCACCATTCCACTCCTTGAGACAGTCCAACATGGGGTCAATAAACCTCCCTTCACACAATGCAGAGAATACCTTATCACACTCCTCACCAGGTGACCTAACTTTCTCACCTGTCAGCAAAGTTGTACCCAAATTTTCTCTCACAAACTTGTATAAAGGGTAAGACCGGCATTCCTTAATACGGTTCGGAATAGCAGGATTTCCATTCTCAACTTCAACTCTGGCACTTTCCACCTCTTTGGGCAAAAGGGCCTTGAGCTCTTCCTCAAAAGCTCCTATCTTTTGGAATATTGAGGTACTTGAATTGGCCTCTTTATCACCATTTTGCAATGCATGATCAACTAGGACCTCTCTCAGCTTCTGCATTAGAGGGTAGGTTGCACTGCAAGGGTCATCAACGTAAGCAAAGACATACTCACGGTCAACAACTTTGAGTAAGTCCTTCTCACAGAACCTGGATGGATGCAACTCCCCGTTGACACCAACTGTGAGAACTCTTTTGGCCACTTGACATACAGTATTCTTGACAGTGCTCTTCAAGTTTTCCTCCAAATGCCTCAGATCAATGGCTTGGCACAATGCAACTAAGAAAGTGGAGGACATGAGCTTCAGTATATCCACTGCTTCAGCTGTCTTTCTTGAGGAAATCAAGCCCAAAGAGTTCACATCTTGGTTATGTTGTTCTGCACTCTGAACATGATTGGTGACAGGATTGGCAAGGTATTGAAGTTCTGAGCAGTAAGATGCCATTGCAATTTCTGCCCCTTTGAAGCCATAATCCAAGCTTGGGTCGCGGCTAGCAGTTAGATTTGAAGGCAACCCATTGTTGTAGAAGTCATTTACAAGCTCAGAGAATTGTGCAAACATAAGTTTTCCAATTGAAGCAATGGCCAAACGGGTGTTATCCATTGAAACACCAATTGGGGTACCCTGGAAATTTCCTCCATGAAGTGCCTTGTTCCTTGAAACATCAATCAATGGATTGTCATTCACAGAGTTTATCTCCCTCTCAATCATCTTTGTTGCATGTCTGATTACTTCAATATGTGGTCCAAGCCACTGAGGTGATGTTCGAAGAGCATACCTATCTTGTTTAGGCTTCTGAAGTGGATCAATCTCATGTAACTTTTGTGCAGCCTTAACATATGAGCTTCCATCTAAAATATGTTCCATTATAGCTGCAGCTTCAATTTGGCCAGGGTGGTGCTTCAATTTATGTGTCAAGTGGTCTGTGAATTCTGGTTTTCCTTGCATAACTTCAGCGAAAATTGCAGACAAGACTTCTGAGAGGATAGCAAGTGTGTTTGCCTCAAAAAGAACCATGGAAGCCAAGCCTGATCCCACTGCAGTGCCATTCACTAGTGCCAAACCCTCTTTAGGTTGCAATTCAAAGAAACCACCATCAATTCCAGCTAGTTGAAATGCTTCTTTAGCGTTGAGAACTTGTCCATTAGGTCCAATACACTTGGAGTTTGGCCTTCCAATCAAAAGGCCAGCAACATATGACAAAGGGACCAGGTCACCTGAAGCAGTGATTGTGCCCCTCAGAGGGAGGCATGGGGTTATGTTATGGTTCAGAAATTTGGCTATGGCCTCCATGATTTCAAATCTGATGCCTGAATATCCTTGAAGCAAGGTGTTGATCCTAACCAGCATGGCTGCCCTTGTGGCTGAGTGAGGTAACATGTGGCAGGATTCTGTGCCATTGCCGAAAATGCCAGCATTCAAAAATCTGTTTCAACAAAATAATTGCCAAATTGTGTCATTGTCAACAACTTAATTAAAATTAAAAAAAAATGACAATAATCATATATGACGAATAATAGAATTCTGAACAACTATGAAACATGTTGACTGAGCCAAATAAACAACAAGTGCGATCTTCCAAACGACTCATCCTAAGTCAAACAATTGTGTTCAATTAAAGTCAAGTACATTAAATTAATAATCCAATTATATAAAACAACCAACAAAGCCTGCAAATGAGTATGACTCAGTCCTAGCCAATTAAAAACTCAATAATAAACTTTCTTGATTTCCAACAGTTTTCTTTTATACCTTCCTTTTATGAAACCAAAAAAGAAAAAAAAAGAAAAAGAAATTCACCAAAAGATCTTCTCTTTTCTACTATAGAAAAGGAAAATATATAAGTTGTGTGGAAATAACTGTCGATAATTATCTATGTCCTTTTTTTAATTTTATTTTGCACATTTTAGAACATCTTATCGCACACAAATTAAGTATTAAGAAATTATAAATCATTATCCTTTCTTTTCTTAGAGCAATATAACCTTAAATAGGGTCTAAGTTGTGGCATCAGTGGTTCTGGTGTCTCCATGTAGAAGGCATAACCATAATATCGGTTAATAATTAATGCTATGTTGTCTTTTCAATTTGCCCGTCTTTCTTGGCAGATATTGAAATAAACATATATTTTTAATTTTTAATTACATATATATATATATATATATATTTTAATCATTTAATCATTAACTTAAAAGTCTTACTCATTAACTTCCCCATACAGATAATTTGGTTTGTAAATTATTCGTATTAAATTTATTAAAATATGTGATCTAAATACCAAAAGACACTAATAAGAAAACAAAAATCATTGTATACCTTAAATAACAATTAATATATTTTCAATCTCTGCTTAAGTAACATCAAATTTTGACTCGATAGAAAATGGGATGGCATCAACTCAAAAACAAAACATCAAAAATAAAAAACCATAAATGACAAAGTCATCACTTGTATCATGACTAGGCCTTTTTGTTTATTTTCCAGTTATTAGACAAAGTTTCCTCTTGATCATGACCTCTTTCTCCCTCTAAAATGGAGTGGACCCACACACTCGTGTACTTGAGTAATTGGGCAGTTAGTATATTCTCTATCACAAAAATAATAAATTTTGTGGGGTATTGTTCCCTCAATAAATACCTTACCAAACATTTCATGCCTTAACTTTTGGATAACCTATTGCCCCATACTTACCACAGAATACGGTGGTAATTAAAATATACAAAAGAAATGTAAAAAAGATGATTACTGTGTAATCATCTCTAATTTTAAAAGGTCAAATAAAGATCTAAGCCTCTAAGCTTTTAAGTATTTTTTCTCAAAGTAATGGGATTCTTTCAAATTAATTACTAAAATGTTTTAAAACTACTTGCGAAAACTATAATATTTTAAAAATACATGTTTGTTTTTCATATAGTTCGTGATGTATAAATTAACGCAATTAAGGTAAATCACGAAATTCTTTCAACCTAGTCGGCATAATTGTGCAAATCCACATTCCACAATTCCACGTGAAATTATAAAAGTGTTTTTTGATAAAAATGAAAATATATTTATATTAACAAATAATTTGAAGAATATTTTTATAAAAATTAAAATATTTAATTATTTAAAATTAATAGTAAGAGAAAATCTGCGTCTTATTCACTTTTGTGGTCTCCCTCTCTCTCTCTCTATATATATATATATATATATATTTATTTATATAATACAACATTTTTTTTTTACCAATTCAACAGTTTTTTTTATCTCTTTTTTTCATGGGTTTTTCCTAAATTTAGTTTCATTACATAGAGTAATTTTTCCCCCCTTCTTTTTTCCCCCTTTTGTCTAATAATTATTCTATGTTCTTAGTACCTTTTTTTATGTTTAACCAATAATAAGTGAAAACAAAAAGCATACGAAATAAAACAAAAATACAAAACAATTCACACCTGTGTCAAATCTACAAAACCACACGAAAAAGGAAATTATCAAATCATGACACGACCTTCTACCAAATTACATCTAGCAGATGAATGGTAGCCCACCTACCTCCAAGCATGAAGCATGGCAAAATTAAAATATCCAAATTATTTTTTAAAAGAAAAATCATTAAAAACCCACATACTTAACTTATAAATAATCAATTTAATAAACAGAAGAAAACCAAGACACACGTTATAGCTGCAACACAAACATACAGTTCTAATATTTAATAGCAATAAATAAATCGAAAAATGTTTCACACTAAATTAATAAATTAAATTACCTTATGAGTTCGTTCTGAAGAGCACCACCTTGTTTTGTTCTCCTGTGTGAGGTTGCACCAAACCCTGTGGTGACCCCATAACTATCAGTGCCTTTGTCCATGCTGTCAATGACCCACTGACTACTAGCCTTAACGCCGGAGCGGGCCTCCTCCGCGAGCTCCACCGCGATTCGGCTGTCTATGGCGGAAACAGCCGCCACCTGAGATATGGTGAGGCTCTTACCACCTAACATCACCACCGGATTCCGATACTCCTCCACCATGCGCTTCACCTCATCAAGGTGGCTACCTTTCAAAGCTTCCGCAGCCATGCCCCAGTTCAATGGGTCACTGCTACCATTGCAAAGGTTCAAGGAGCCATTGCCATTGCTGCAACTTTCCTTCGACAACTCCATTTTCAAAATTGATGGTAAAAAAAATATATAAATAAGGGAATATTATCAATCAACCAACCAATCAAGGTTAATTGTATTTTCAAGATCTTATGATTTTAGTGTTATGTAGCTATGCTAGCTATATGGATGGATATGTATTAATGGTAATTGTAACTACCACCAAAATAGAAAGGGAACAAATGGGAAGGATAGGATTCTTGGTTGTGAATTGTGATTGCAATAAAAATTGATAAAATAAAATAAAAAGGAAAATTTTCTTGAGGGGTTTTGTTGTATAGGGAAAGAAAATTTTCCTGAGAAAGGACAGGGGAAAATGTGAAGTATATATAGAGGGTATGATGACATTGAGTGTAGGTGGGTAAGCCGATGGGTTAGTTGAGAACATGAGGTGGCCGTTGGATCATTATGGGATTGGAGGGTTAGGATCGTGACACGTGGATACGTGAGTAGCTTTGATAACCCATGTGTCCTTGTAGATGTAGGTGGTGAGGGGTAGTGGGAATGCTAGGTCCAAATTGGGGGGGTTTTATTATTTACTCATGGATGAGGTAAGTGTGGTGAAAGGTAGGACAGGGGGCATGTGGAAGAAGGGGTTGGTGGAGATGATAGGATAGGATTATTCAAAAAGAATATAGATTTGTTTTTAAAGAAATTTATTAGAAACATGTTCAATTACCCAAAAGTCTTATACATCTATCGCCTTTAAGTTACCATATATGGTATTCTAAAAAGTAAATAATTAACTTATAATATATGCTACAAAATTCGACATATCAAGGAACTCTAAAAATCAAATCACAAAAAACTAACTCCGTTATATATTTTTATGAACACAGATTTTATATTTAGTATTGAGTTTACTTTCTTTCTTTTTTTCGATGATTGAGATACATTAGCATCAATCCTTTATGTGATAGGAATAAAGGTTGAAACGTAATTTCCTTTTAACTTTTTTTTTATCGATTTTAATTATATTTTTGAGGCGAGTCTATCTTTCGATATTCCCACAAGTTTCAACCCTTTAAATTAGTTATGAAATTAATCTTAAGTCAAAATTTAATCACAATTAAAATTCATCATCCTAACTCAGCCTTTTTATGGTCTATTCAACTTGTATTGCCAATTAAGATATACTCATTGTGTTATCAAAAAAAAAAAAAAAAAAAAGATATACTCATTGAAAGCTTTTTGTTTTTCCGGTTCATTAATTATCTAATTAGTCTAGTCGAGTCCTATAGTATTATAAATACGACAAAATTCTCCTACCATATCTGAAAATTCAAGAGTGTGATTTCTTTAACCCGGTAATATCCCACAAATACATGTATTTGAAAAATAATTAAGTCATATTTAGGGAATATGTGACTTGAGATGCATATTTATGTAAAATAATATAATTTTAAATTTATTTGATAATTTTTTAGACAAAATTATTCACGGTTAGTTGTATGTCTCATATATAATTTAGGGCGGTTATACTTACTCATTTCAGACTTATCACTTTTATTCAGAACAGATGCTAACATATAATCGGAGTGCGTAGATAACGTCAGAATACTAGTCAAGATGCGTATATAACGCCAAAATACTAATCAAGATGCGTATATAACGCCAAAGTAATGTACGTTCATAGCACTGCAGTGCACGTACTACTAACAAGCACAATGGATATTCTATTTTGGCTCCATCAAGGGGGATTCCAACTGCGACCTATGCGGACTGAAGCCAAGTGTCCCATTCCCGGGTACCGGAGGGATGCTTATATGATGCATGCTCAAACATATGCTTACTTTTATTATATACTTCGGTTTCTGTTGAAGAGAAGTTTGTTATTTTATTTTTAAATGTTTGTTGGGATCTGATATCCTTTGATAACAATAGGAAAACTAGGAAGTTGTTAGTTTGTTGATATTTTAAAGTAGTTGTTTAGATATTTATTTCCCTGTATATATACTCCTCAAGTTGAGGTTTCAATTAAATGAAATACAGATTATCAGAAATTTGACATGGTATCACGAGCTTTGTTCTGATCCTACGAAATTTTTTTTCCAATACCCACCCATTCCCACTCCGTTCCCATACCCAATATTTTTTTTTCTTCTGTTTTCCTTTTTTCCGTACCAAATATTATCTTTTTTTTCCCTACCCATATTTCTTTGCCAAACCCGACCCATACCCATCTCACCACCCACTCTACACCTGTATCCTTCCCAATATTCTTTTTCCCCAATTCTGAACCCTACCCTTCTCCACCGCCATGGAATCTGAATATCTTGACAACCAAAATTCCGCAATTGATCCTCCTTTGACTACCGCCGTTCCACAACCACCAAACATCGTCATCCATCAAGATCATTCTTCTCTCCCTCTCACTGTTACCCTTGACGAAACAAACTACCCCCTATGGTCCCAACTCATGGATATGAGAATCGGAGCTCGCAACAAAACTGGTTTCCTTACCGGTGCTACACCCAAACCAAACCCCGGTGATCCTTCTCTTGATTCTTGGATCACCGACAACAAACACGTCAAGAGTTGGTTAATCGACTCCATGACCCCAAGCCTGATGCACAGGTTCATTCGACTGGAAACAGCATCTGAAATATGGGAAGCCACTTCGAAGACGTTCTATGATGGCTCTGATGAGTCATGCCTCTTCGACCTTAACCAGCGGTCGTTCACCACGAAGCAACTCGGACGTCCCCTTACTGTCTACTACACCGAACTCTTGGCTATCTTCCAAGAAATTGATCACCGTACCTCTCCATCTGATTCGGTTGCTAATCTTGTTCATCAACAATCGACCCTGTCTCGATTGAGGGTTCACATCTTCCTTGCTGGTCTTGATTCTGAATTTGACCAGGTCCGAAGTGAAATTCTTCGTAAAGATCCGAAATTGGACCTGGAGGGCTCTTATGCGTATGTCAGGCGTGATTCTCAACAACGTCTTACCATGAGTCACACGAAGACCCCCTCTAGTACTTCTGCTCTTCTCACCCATCACCCACGCATCAGTTCCCCACATCCTCCTAGGTCTCGCCGTGACAGTGCTCCTCTCACCAGGCCTTCGTCATTTATGTGCTCTCATTGTGGAGAGGTGGGTCATTCCAAGCAACGGTGTTACGAGTTGATTGGGTATCCAGATTGGTGGGACTTCACCAAACGTCCCCGTAAGAAGATTTCCCCAAAAGCAAGTCTTACTGTTGCTGTTGCCGATGCTGAATCCTCCACTCCTCAAGCCAATGTCGTCCAGAGCAGCATCTTGGGTAAGCCTATTGTCTTCACTGCACATTCAATGAATAATATCTGGATTATTGATACGGGTGCTTCTGACCATATGGTTCGGGACCCCTCTTTGTTGTCTAATTTCCAACCATGTTCTAAGCCATTTATTTCTACTGCTAATGGAGGTACCTCCTCCATCTCTGGACAAGGCCAGCTTTCCCTATCTCCTGCCTTACATCTTTCCTCTGTTTTGTGTATTCCCTCCCTGGAATTTAATCTCCTTTCTGTAAGCCGTCTAACATCTGACCTCATATGATGTGTTATTTTTTCCCCCTCTTACTGCATCTTTCAGGACATCCGCCAACAGAAGACACTTGGTTATGGAGTTAAGATTGGTGATCTATACTACTTGGACCTCAAATGCACCATTCCTTCCTCTCGGACTTGCACCTCTGTTCGTGACTCCTCACTTTCCTCTCAAGCTTGGCTATGGCATCGTAGATTAGGACATTTATCTTTCAGTTATCTTAAAAAATTATTTCCCAAGTTTTTTACTTCTGTTCGAGTATCTCATTTTCAATGTACTACTTGTGAGTTAGCAAAAAGTCACAAAAGTTCTTATTCTCCAAGTATGAATAAAAGTTCAATTCCATTTCAAGTTGTCTATTCTGATATTTGGGGACCTGCGAAAATTATTTACCTTTATCGATGAATGTACTCGTATGACGTGGGTCACCCTTTTGTCTCATAAAAGTGGTGCCTTTTTTGCCTTCAAAAATTTTTGCACCATGGTTCATACACAATTTAACTCTTCTGTCAGTATCCTCCAATCTGATAATGGTTCCGAATACATCAATACCAGTTTCACCGACTACCTCATCATTAATGGGATTAAACATCAAACTTCATGCCCATACACACCACAGCAAAATGGCCTTGCTGAACGAAAAAATAGACACCTTCTTGAGGTTGTCCGTGTATCCCTATTTGGTATGTCTGTTCCTAGATATTTTTGGGGTGAAGCTGTAGTTTCTGCTGCCTATTTAATTAACCGTATCCCTTCTCGTTCCCTAAATTTTCTTACTCCACAACAGAAACTTGAATCTTTTTTCTCTATTCCCCACTGCTCCAACCTTGAACCCTGTGTGTTTGGATGTGTTGCTTATGTTCATGTACCTAAAGTTCTTCGAAATAAGTTAGATCCATGTGCAAAGAAATGTATTTTTGTTGGCTATTCCAATGAACAAAAAGGCTATAGATGCTATGATCCTTGTTTACGAAAAATTCATGTCACTTTAGATGTCTCCTTTAGAGAATCCGAAGCTTACTACTCAGGGGGAGATTTGCCTTCTTCTCCTCAGGGGGAGATTGCCTATGGAGGAGAAGTCTCAATTCATATTCCAGTAACTTCTCCAGCTCCCTCTTCTCCAGCTCCCTCTCTCGGCCCAAGGCTCCAAGAAACAGAACCACCACATGAAACACAAGCAGCATCACCAATCTTAACACCTATGACTGAATCAACTTCTTTGGATGTCCCAAATGCTACACTTCTCATGGACAATGAGGTAAATTCTGATCCCATCTTATCTACAGTTAACTCTTGTAACCCCTCACAACCCACTTCAATCTTGAGGAGATCCGAAAAAGCTACAAAAGGCATTCCCAAACAAATGTATGAACCGAATCTTCATGCTTCCATTAAATACCCAATTGGAAATTATGTGTCAACAATAAATTTAACCGAATCATATGCATTAGCCACTAATCAATTGTCTAGCATATATATTCCTACAAATGTGCAGGATGCTATAGCAGAAAAAAAATTGGAAAACAGCCATGGAAGTGGAGATGGCAGCACTACAAAAGAATTCCACTTGGGATATAGTTCCCTTACCTACCGGAAAACAAAGTATAGGCTGTAAGTGGGTATTCACCTTAAAACTCAAGTCAGATGGCAGCTTGGATAGGTATAAGGCAAGACTTGTGGCAAAAGGGTATACACAGAAGTTTGGAATCGATTATCAAGAAACATTTGCAC